CAGGAACTGAAGCTGGTTTTGGTTTGTGTGTGCGTTACTGTCACTGCAGTTCTGGGAACATGGTTGGATTGCTTCTGCATGGACAGCCGAGGAGGGATACTGTTGTCTATGGAGCAGGAGGCTGGAATTTAGTCAAAGGACAAATACTGCTAACAAATTTCAGGCCGGAACAGGACTGAGAATATATGAAGTATCAAATGTAATCAGTCACTTCATGAGATGAGATGGGGAGCACAGCAGCAGAGGCAGTGTGCCATTTCATCCTCCTAAGGTGCCACGAGCACTGTTTATAAAGGCTACTGCAATCCGTAGCAGCAGCTTTAGAAAAATACAGAAATTCCTTTAGAAGTCTAAATATGATTTTTAAGACGTAAATTTAGGCAGCCAGCTTCGATTTTTGTGGTGTAGGGGTAGTCTGCCTGCAGCTGAAGTGAATGTGGATTTCAGCGATGCGGAGAGGGGTCCTGACGCTCTCACTTTTTTAAAGATTTCCAGCTTAACAGTGTAAATTCCTCAGTTCTTACCACTATTAGTGGAAAATGTGACCTTAAAATTGCAATAATCCCTCAATCCAGTTTTGGGGGTTTGTCAGTGCTGATTGTCTGAATGTAACAAGTCCAAAGCTCTTTGTAAATCTCCCATGTGGACCTGTTTTTAGCATTTCACCCCTGTTCCTTGCCTGACCAGGGAACCTGTCTGACCTCATCTGCCTTAGTCCAGAGAGGCTGAAACAGATCTCTGGACACACCATTTTATTACATGAAAGTTAAAATGCTGCCATGTCTCTAGATGACATTGAGACCTAGGTCTGCTGCTAATGCTCTAATTTCTCTCCCATTAAATACAGAACAATGCAGAATATGATTCTTCTCGCTGCTTTGCATTTGTCCATGACCTGTGCAATGACCAAAGTCCTCTCCCAATGCCAGATGAGAGTCTGGACGTTGTTATTCTTATCTTTGTCCTCTCAGCAATTCTCCCAGAGAAGTAAGTTTTAATAATTCCTTCTGGCTGCAGAAGATAACTCATATAGAGCTGGAGTTCTTTAGTAGTAGGTCCCCTCATATCAAGGAAAATTAGTTTGTTCTGTGTCTGGTCCAGTTTCCCATTAAGCCTCTGAAAATGAAATCTGCAGGTACTTGCTGTTGTAACAATTTCTGGTGGAGGATGGGTGTGATTTTGAAGTGCTAAGTGGCTATGGGTGACGTCATGCTGCGGTCACAGTTGCTCACCTGTTCTGAACCCCAGCCACGCTGAGTACCCAGCACCCATTTGTGGAAAGTATATACTAGATTTTAAGGCTCAAAGGCTAGGTGAATTTCTCATGGGAGGTGGCAAGAAGGGAGGGGACAGGTTCAGAAAACAGTTAAGAAAAGTGCTGTCATCTTACTGTGACAGTGTGTTACAGCCTGCACTAGTGTCTCTTTTTTGTTCCCTTTGGTTTTATTTCACAGCATTCTTCTTCAAGTTCACTTATTACTTGTTTTACGGAAACCAGTGGAAATACTTCCATAATTAGTAAGAGAGAGCGGTTAATCCCTGCTGTGGCACGCTAAGTTATCATTGTAGAAAAAAAAAAGGAGAATCGGGAAGTGTCAGAAATAAGGCGGCCAAATAAAATCAACCCACCTGAGAGAGCTCAGAAAAATGCTAGCTTTTGGCAGCTTTTTATATGAAGTTGAAATATATGTAAAACTTTATACCTTCTTTTTGGAAAGTAGGCTAAGGAAACGAGCATCATTTTGGAGAATGCTGAATCCTTCTGTTTTGTTCTTTCCTCAGGATGCAACGCATCGTTAACAGACTGAGTCGCCTTCTGAAACCAGGAGGAATCATTTTGCTACGAGATTATGGCCGTTACGATCTGGCCCAGCTTCGGTTTAAGAAAGGTATTTTCCCCTGGGGACTCGTGCCCGATCACTAATAGAGGATGCTTCTCTGGAGTAACGTCTACCCTGTTTAGGAGGCAGCTCAGTAATTCCGCTTAAGCACAGCATGTGCTGGGAGAGGTGCCTCTTGTAGGATGGCAGTTGTTGATTTTTAAGTGATAGCTGGTAACTGTTTAAATCCCTCTTGCCCTTAGGTCAGTGTCTGTCTGATAACTTCTATGTGAGAGGTGATGGCACCAGAGTCTACTTCTTCACACAAGGTAGGAGGCTAGAAAACATCCCTCTGACTCTCCTCGCCTCTTTTTGTCCCTGCGCCGCTAGCTCTTTCCAGCCGGCCTTTCTTGGAGCAGTGTGAAACGTTAAGTGTCTCCCAATCGCACAGGGCCCTGGGCTTGTCACTTGCTGATGTGAATATGGTGAATTCTTTAGCAGACAATTGTTTTGGAGAAAGACTAGTGCGTTTGCTACACTGGGCGAGGTGGGATTGGAGGAGCTCTCCCTGAATCTTGTTTCCTGTGGAGGATGGAGTGAGATGGACACCACTTGAAGGAACTTCTCTTAACTTTGCTGTTCTCCTATGAGGAAATAAGAAGGGTGTGGTTCAGCGTAGAGCTGAGGCAGCCTCTCCAGTTCAGCTGCTGCTTGGTGGTCAGCAGGGGTTGTATCCCCTCTGCTTATCACCAATTGCACCTCCAGTCGCTTCCACCGCAGGCCCCCTCTGCGTAGGCAAGTTTTAGAGCAGTGGCACAACTGCAACGGACTGTTCCCTTCCCCACTGCACAAGTCTTGTTTGTCACAACAAAATTAATGTTTAGTGCGTGTTTGGCAAACGCTTCACGATGGCGAGCATCTGATAAAAGAGCACAAGCTGGGACCTGTTAGCCCTTTTCTACAGCAACTCCGCGCAAATCACGTGCTCCCGGGCTGCAGTTGAACAAGCTCTCTGCTGCTCAGCAGGACTCGGTCTGGCTTTGCCCAGGGCCAGTGTGCTGGGGCACTATGATACTTCTTTGCTTGGTCAGGAATACCTGCCAGTGTAAGAGTTGCAGCCTCGAGGGCTCTTAGTGCTTTGATTGGGCCCCAAAAGGGTGTGGTTTTTTTAAGGTTTTTTTTTCCCAAACTTAACCTTAATGAATCCCGTTCCCCTCCAGCCTGTACAGCACAGATCTCACTGCCACCATTTAAAAGCGTAGGTCTGATCCTGTTCTTTGCTCTTGCAGACTCTGAAATTCCTCAGGAAAGAGAGGGGAGGGGGAAGGAATGGATCTGTCCCTACTCGCCGAAAGATGCTCCCTTAATCGGTTACTAGAGGCGATACCCACGTCTGAAACTGCTGCTGTCTTCTCTTTGTCAAGTCTCTGTAGTTCTAGTTGTCCCCCAAATAATTTTTTCCTTCCTTGGTAGAAGGTAAACTCAAGGGAAACTAGAGCAACTGTGATGTTAATTCCCCCCAGTACAGTCCTATCTGATCTTTACGTTTCCCTGCCAGAGTGAGACAGTGAGTTTCCTCCGGCCCATCTTTCAACATAATTTGGCCCTCTGTGAGCAGGTGTCAGTTAAATGAAAGCTTTGGCATCCTCAATCTCCTTCTCTCTGCTTCCAGATGAATTAGATGATCTCTTCTCAACAGCTGGGCTGGAGAAAATCCAGAATCTGGTTGATCGGCGATTGCAAGTGAACCGTGGGAAACAAATGACGATGTATCGAGTGTGGATCCAGTGCAAATACCGCAAGCCTGCAGCCCCTCCGCTGTGAGGAAACGGGACATGCTTTTTAGGTTGGAGCCTGTTCATGGCCACCTGCAGCGTCTCCTCCTGGTGAGATGTGGTTTTATGGAGTTCAGCGCACACAGGACCTCAGTGCCTTTTGCAGTGCCTAGCACCACTTCCAGTGAGTTTTGCTAAGGACGAATGCTTTAAGAGGAGACCAAGCAGTGTTTGAGGGGTCTTGCTACTGGTCTGAGTTTTTAAAATTATTTATGGTTTTAACAACTTAAGAAATACTCATGCTGTCTTACAGCAGCTGAGCAAGTTGAGTAGCGAGTCACCCTTACTCTGGATTTCCACATGAAACAGAAGAGCTTTGACCTTAACCTCTGTGTTGTGTACTCTTGTCTTGGGAACAAAAACCATACAAAGGGTAAATCTGTTCTTCTCTGCAGCTGGTCACTAGGCCTAATACGAATCCCTTAGCCAGCTTATCTCATGCAGCTCTCTTCTAGTCGTACAGGTTTGTGCAAATCCGCAAGTTAAATACATTGATTGAGGGCAGGAACTGAGAGCACGCCAGTTTCTCTGTGCCAGCTTCCCCGTGAATGCCTCGTGGCGTGCAGATAACCTGTGGAGAAAGCAGATTATGCTGCCTTGCCCTCACTGTCCACAAGGATGTTCCTCTAGGGAGCCAGCACACTCTAGCTCAAGTGCTACAAAGTCGTAGCAGGCAGGGTTCAGATTTTCAAAGATTTGGGGCTGGTGCTGGTTTCGGGGGACGTCCAGAGTGCACAGTATCACAAGCAGCTCATGGGGGCAGGGTTTATGCAGAATTACCTACTTTTTCAGCTTCAACAATGAGAAACTGTTCTTGCTGGCTGCAGTCCTCAGGTCACGAACTGCACTGCCCTGTCATGGTGGTGTGCTAAACCCAAGTAGACAAGACACCTGTCTTCGATAAGAAATCTGAAGAATGTCTACCACTTTTGTTTAATTTCTTAGAGGAAGCCAACATTGTGGCTTTCTGAAGATATTTCCCTACCTTTGACAGCAAATATCTTTTTATCTCTGCTTGTTTTCTTTTGTTATTTTTAGGGTGTGGTACAACAAGTATTAGAATAAATTTTGTGGTAATGCTTTTCAGTGCTGGTTTGATTAGTAGAAATCAGGCTTCCACAGAAACTCACATGCTTCTGCACGCCTGATATGAAGGATTTGGGCCACCGTTAGATAACCACAGGTTTTTTTCCTCTTCTGTTATCATTACTCTCACTAGTGCCTGCTCTTGTCTCCCAGGAAGAGAAAGCCTTGGCTGATCATCTCCTACCTTGTTTTTGTTCATGGATCACCAAAGTGAACTGTGTGTGCACTGCTGGCTGAAGAGCAGTTCATGCTACACAAAGCATGTTCGTTTTGTTAGCTACACGGTTGTACTTGGAGCTTACAGTTGCCTAAGAATAACCGTCAACTATAGAGACACGTAAATTATGAAATAACTGCTGTCTTTAAACAGAGGAGAAAGGGTAAAAAGATGAGGAAATGTCATTGCTGTCTTTGTAGAGTCTGCAAGAGTCCTGGAGAGTCAAACCAGGAGCACCCTGACCTGTAAAGGGTGGGAAGGGGCGGAAGCAATACTCTCTGCTGGGCGTGTGGCAGCATGATCAGTTCATAACTTCTATGTCACTGTGTCACCCTGCAGGTACTAGTATGTCCGCCACCCAGAGGCTTCTGGGTCAGGACATTGCAGCCCTTCCTGTGGAAAGGTGACCCAGCAAATCCCTTCACACCACAAAGGCAGGCTGCAGTGCTGGGCGGGAATGGAAATGCACTATTACTTTCTTTTTTTTTTTTTTTTATATCTAGCTCTTTTATATAGTGTTGAAAAGAAATCGAGTAACTGGGAAGAGAATTCTTGCTCAATTTGTTCTACTCTATTTTCTAAAGGGCTAAGAGACTTTCCAGCATCTGCAAATGAAATAGGAGGAGATAAGGCTTCTTTCTTTACAAGCACTTTTGGCTTCTGTTGGGCACAAGCCTGGCCCAACCCCGAAGCTGTGCAGTCGCTGCTGAGTTCTTGTGCTAAACCTACAAAGTCTGGCTCCCTGTCAGGGTTGGTACCGCAGGCAAGGTCTAGGCAGAACACAGCTTAAGGCCTCTGGGAGCTGAGCAAGCTCATGTCTCCTCATCCTACCCAGGCAAAGAGTCAGGTTTACCAAAGGGAAGTCCTGTCAGTGTTCAACGTGACGTGACTCATGTAACCAGCTCTGTTGCTTTCAGTGAAAGACTACCATGTGTTACTGGTGCCTTAGGCAGTTCCCTGGGGTCCTTTCCCTCTTGGTCCCTGGAGGGAGACCTCCTCCTGGGATAGCTTTATCTCCCTGGAAGAAGAATTATTGACTGGGGTAAACAAGCAGCATAATTAGTATGAATTAAAGTAATTTGAAAATGCCTTATTAATCATCCAAAGGCTTGTAAGCAGCACGGGAAAATATGTTTTTAATTATAAACATGATTTATTTAAAGTTGATGGACTCCCCTTTAAATTTAAACTCCTGAATGGGAGAAAATGAAGGCTAGTAATTTATTTGGTTCTACTTTCAAGGCTACATCCCAGTTGCCTGCCTGGTTTTGACCTGGGCTTCATGCAAAAACTTGCAGCCCTGTGAGCCTGTAGCCATTGAAGTGGCTCTTCGCCTTTCTTAATGCCCTTCATTCTGCTGGAGTATTTAAGCAATCACTCCACATGAACCATGCTGGGCAGACATGCTTTTGTTTCAAGTCCTCTTGGTGATGTTCAGAAAGCAACAAGTTAATGGCCTTGAACTGAGCCAGGCCTCCTACAGACAGATGCTGTCTGAGCTTCCTTCATTAGTCTCTGCCAGCTCCCGTTCTCTCTGAAGCTGCTGCTTTCCTGCGACTCCAGGCCTTGCCTCCCACACAGCTCTGCTCAGGTACCTTGGTTCTGACTTGCAGCAGCTTCTGCCATTCCCACCTTGGGCCTGCTGAGCAGGCTGGGTTGCACAACGGCTTTCTCGCATGTTCAAAGGAAAGCTGCAAATTGACTTTCACTGTATTGAAAACCCAGGTTAAGTGCTTGTATTTTTTTCTTTTTTTTTTTGTTTTTGTTTTTGTTTTTCCCCGTCTTCCTTTTTGGCAGTGTAACATTAGCTTTAAAGCCATTCTGAACATATCTGCTCTGGTTTTGTTCCTAGCATTCCAGTCTTGTGGTCTGTGGCTTACAGGCAATGCCAACGTAGCTTGTCGAACCTCCCAAGCAGAAGAGATGATTTCATAGCTCTTCAGAGGCACTGCCCCTGCGATTCTGGAGCCAGACATTGTTACACTTTGGAAAGTCTGGTCCTGGCTCTTGCCAGAGGATGGTGGATTTCCTTGGAGGTTCATAGATTGTTTTGGCTGGAAGGGAACTTTATCATCACCTATTCTGACCCTTTGCATAACCCTTTCATGTAGGGATTATGACATCAAGCCTGTGACTTTGGCTGAGCCAGAGCTATCCCTTCAGAAAGGCTTTTGATCCGGCCATGATGCTGAGGGCTCCAGCGGATGGCAAAGAACCCTTTGCCTCCCCAGGTACATTGTTCCTCTCGCAGCATCCTTATGTCACAGATCAGCTAGAAACTAGGAGGCAGGAAGGGAACGGGGGACATAAAGAAAACAAGAAGCTGGGGAGTATTTCTGATACCATCACTTCAGAAATAAATAAATAAATTGTAAATTCCACTAAAAACGGGAGCTTTCTCAGGATCTTCCTGACAGCACAGGGGCAGTCATCCTTAGTGATTTTTGTTGTTAAAACAATAATCATCAAATGCTTCTGACCAGAAGCATGTGAGACCAGACACAGTTACCTTCTTTCCCAAATACTTCAGCTCCACCTTCTCAGAGTATGTCACCACCATTTCTAATTCTGTAGTTAGCTGTAGAGCTGCAGGAGAAATGAGACCTGATAATTTTCAATAAAACAGGGGTGTGAGCAGAAGGATCCTCCATGCCAGCAGCTTTTCGCATTGCCTTGTAACTAAAGCTTTGTCGTTGGCATTGGGATGAGCCCCGGCCGGGACCCAGTTGATTCCCTGCAGGAATCACAGACCCAAACTGAACTTAACTGGTTTTCCTGAGCACAAATGAAAGATGCACAGGTTTCAGTGCCTAGAAGTGAGGGCACGGATGAGGATGAGGCCGCAGGGATCAAGTTATTAAGGGATTTAGGAAGCATCCTTCCATGTCTGTAATGACAGATGGAGGGAAACTGAGTCATGCAGTCATCTTTGTTCTCCTGATCCGTCAACTGGATCTGGTTTGTCAATCAGAGCAGTGACACCATGTTTGGTTTGGTGCCATGTTGGGCAAAACTAGTCCAGCAGAGAAAACACGTGAACAGGATCACTTTTGTTATTGTAGCTATTCATCTGCCTTGACAGGGGTGTGTGCTTGGCACACACCTTTTTGTACAGCATCCATAGGATTCTGATTCTAATAGTGTTGTCAAATATGTTTTCAGGGCAAGACAGAAATTACTAGGAGAGCGAGGAGGAGGGAGGAATTTTTTTGGAGGACTCTCCTGTGAAGCGAGGTGCTCTAGAGGGAAAGGAATTGTCAGCTCTGTGCTTAATCAGCAAAGCTCTGGAGTTTGTGCTTTGCTCTTGCTGAAGGCAGTAAGTTCCTGTGCATAAGTGCCTTGCTGAACAAGAGTTTGTATTGCTGAGAAAGTGGGACGCAGTGCAGAGGCTTACCTATGTAGGCAGTGAGTGCTCCTCTGAACTAAATAGGCTACAGCTACCTTTGTTATGGAAAGCACAAGCAAGACCTGGCAACTTGGCTGGAACACGAGCAGGGAGAAGCAAGAGAATCTTAGCTCTGTGTGCCTCTGCTTTTACCTCCTGCCCGAAGGCTGTATGGGATGACAGGAGGTGTCATGCCAGTGAAGGCTTTTACTCTTGAAAATACGGTCTTTGACCCACAGTTGGATGAGTGGGAACTGGCTGTGGTTGGAAAGCGTTGATGGCAAAGATCACTAGCGAGTCTAACGTGTCAGCACCTGCCTGGAGCTCCCAGCCTGCTGGTCCATGGCTGTTTCCAGGAAGGAGAAACACCCTGGTGAGGTTTGGACCTCGCTGCTCTGAACTGTGCTCCCTGGTATTGAATCACACCAGAGGGTCTTCACTGCAAGTGCCAACACAGCGTGTGACCAGCAGCTTGATTTTGGGGTGGGCTGCGAGCATGACTGCTGTATTCAGGTTGGTTTAGTGTTTTTGTGGTCCAAAGGACCCCTGTAGCGCTTGCATTTTCATGTTATTTGGGGGTTGGGGAGTTCTGAGGGATTGAGGCCAATCCTTTGGCCTCTGAAACGTTATATGAA